CAAGGGCCAAGTCCTTGACTTGCTGGGCGTCGGGTGGTGCTTCAAGCTGCACCCAGAGCTTGGCTGCCGCCAGGTGGAGTGGGAGACACTGACGTTCCTCCGAAACACCGGCGGGCACGTGTAAACGCTTCGCGGCGCACTCGTCGAGGGGCAGCTGGTCCTGATAGTCGAGGTAGTGCCAAGTCTGGCCCTGCACTGCAACGGAGCCCTGTCCCACCGACTTCTCAGCATTCCACCGCACTGGTGTTATGATGACGTCTGGGTCAGCCCCCAGGTTGCCAGCCTTCGCCCAGATGCGGTCTGGGAGCTCGCTAGCCTCGGCATCCAGGGTGGGCCCGCCGTGGCGCGTCGCCTCAAGGAGTACTTGTTCGACTGAGAGCTCCTCCTCGCGCCCGCGGGCGCAGGCAAGACGTGCCAAGACATGCGACCGCATGTAGTCGCTGGCGTGGCTCACGGAGTCGAGCACCCCGCTCTCTTGGACGGCCTCGAGCAGCTTTCGCTGGGCCAAGGCTCCTTCGTCCGTGCAGACACTCGTCCCAACCAGGGCCGGGCTGTCGGCGCGCGGGTCCTCCAACCAGGTAGCGTCGGGCCCCTGGGCGGCCTCGCGAAGCTCCGACTCGAGCTCGGTGCGCTGAACCTCGGCGTACTCGTCGGGCGGCGCCCAGCCTGTCTTGGTAGGCTGGATTTCCGCTGCCCCCGCACCTGCAGCCCGTTTGCCGTCAGCCTCGGTCTTAGCTTGGGCCCTCAGCTGCGCGATCCTCCCGCTGACCGAAGCTGGGTCGATCTTGGCGGCGTTGCGGAGCCCACCTCGCCTGAGCAGTTGGCACTGCACGGTCCAGTGCACGTCCTTCAGGCCCTTGATGAGCTCGTGTGAATGCGAGCACCCTTGGACACCCTTCTTGCAGCCTATCCAGGTCGAGTTGTCCCAGCAGAGCGGCTTGCCCTGCTTGTCGCAGGGAGCGTGCCGGACAGAAAGATTGATCTCCTGTGCGTTCAGCCGCTTGCCCGCAGGGTGTGCGGCTCGTGTGGAGTTGGCTTTCGGCTGGGCCTTGGCCTTGGGCTTCTTCTTGGGGGTGGCTCCTGCTCGTTGTTCCTGTGGCTCCGCAGCTGGTTCGCCCCCCTCTCCTCTGACCTCTCCGGCTTTGCCCATGGCGCCGCGCACCCCGTGTATTGAGTCGTTGAGGACGGTCTGGAGGTAGCGCTGCCGCCGCGGACGCACGACCTCCTGGCAGTAGCCCGTGGGGGACTCGAGGTCGAAGACGTTGGGGAAGACGAACGCCGGGCGTCCGTCCGACCTGGGAGCGAAGGCCACCATTTTGAGATCCTCCTTCCGGGGGTCGTCTGTCTGCAACACGCGCAGGAGGCCTCGCTTCTTCTCTCGCAGTCGTTCACACCAGGTCGCCCACAGCTCCTCCCACAGCTCGCATATGAACTTGGACGGGAAGGCATGGTCGTCCTTCTCGCACTCCCGCGCGAGGGTCTCCAAGCAATCCAGACGCTCTTTGATATGCTCTCGTCCGAAGACGAGCCCAAAGAACTTGGTCATGTTCTGGGCCTGCCGCTTCCACTGGTCGAAGACCACGGGGGCCCTGGGCCTGGGTTCCAGCTTCGCGTCGTGCGGCGCGCTGTACTTGTCGAACGCGACCGTCTTGCACGTCGGGAAGTCCGCCACGGAGGCTGACCACGGGGCCAAGTTATCCAAGCTGCTGCCGCCGAAGCGAGCGAGGCGCAGGCCATCGCGATCCGGTTGGACACTGTCGCGGGCGTCTCGACGGCGAGCATCATGGCCTTGTTCTGCTCACAGGTCCGGCGCAGAGCATACAACAGCTCGCGCCCAAGGACCTCGTCGCAGACCTCCACTGTCAGCTGGCCGCACCCGCGTGCCAAGTAGACGTCCAACTCCTCGGCTCTCCCCAGTGCGGCCACCGTCCCTCGCTGGGCTGCCTTGTCACCCTGGCGGGCACTGGCGACCCCTTCCAAGGCGTGGAGCATCCGCGCGGTGTTCGCGTCCAAGGTTGCTCCGGAGTGCGCGAGGCCGAATGGGTCGCTGCCCCCGCCCTCCTCCGGGGCTCCTGCGGCGTAGCGCGCTGGAGCTGTGGTCAGACCTGGGGGTAGACCCAAGTCGCTGATGTGCTGGTCGTAGCGGAACAGGGCCCCGATGTTCGGAGCCTGTGGGCGGACGACCGGGGCCAGCCCAGCCGCGGCAGCTGGGAGGCCGGCGCCCCGTGGCCCGAAGGTGAAGGCTGGCGAGGCTGCGGCTGGCGAGAGAGGTGGCCGCGCTTCGAACAGGGGCGCGCTATCGGCCTGGGTGGCCGGCGGCCCCTGCGAGCGGTGGCGCTCGGGCGGGAGTCTGAGGAGACCCTGAAGGCTACTTGGCGCCGCCTCGGGGGTCTGAGGTCGTGAGGGCACCTGCTGGAGCGCCTCCCAACTGCCGATGTGCCCATCGAGCCGCGCGAGCTCCTCTGGCTCGGTCGTCAACTGCTTGAGGTACTGGGCGTAGCGGATGAGGCCAGCGAGCACCTGCTGGGCCTCCTCGTCGAAGCCGGCGGCCACACTCTGCACTGCCGCTGCGTCGCTCGACCCGCGGGCCTTCTCCTCCAAGTAGCATGCCATCATGTCCCCACCGTCGTCCCCTTGATGGCTCTCTCCTGACACGGGTGCTTCGGAGCTCGCTGCCCGCCCGCCCTCGGCGGACGGGGAGCGCGAGCCGCGACGCGTGGACCCAGCGGGTGGCCTGGGCGAGCTGCTGCGATCGAGCCGCTGCCAGTGGCTGCGCAGCTTAGCATCGGCCTCTGTAGCTCTCGCTTCGAAGTTCGGGCTTCGCGCCACGCCCCCCATCGGGGTGCCACCTGACTAGGTTGATCACCTTCTCACGGAGCAGCCGCCAGCGAGCCTCGTTGAGCGGCCCAGCTCGCCCGCCTACGGGGAGCCCGCGCCACGCCGCCAGCTTATGCCAGACCTTCTCGGGTACGTTGGTCGCCGAGACGCCGATGCCGAGCTCCTCGCAGCCCAGGGGCGCGCGGTGGAGCATCTCCTCGATGAACCCCGCTGGCAGACGCCCGGAGGGTCCCGGGGCAGGCGCGCAGATGACGCCGTCAGGCTTCACGAGAAAGCGGATGGCGGTGCCAGTCGGGTCTTCCACCTCGAGGGCCATCGCGCCGTCGAGGTATTCAGCCACTGCGCTGGCCGCGGCGGCGTCAGCCGCCCTTCCTCTGAAAATCATCCACTGCGCTCCTTCTGGCCAATGTGCCCTCGCCCGAACGATGAAGTATCGCCCGAGGGGCATGGGCGGCGGAGTGGGCGGCTTGGGGAATTAACTCTGGAACCGGCGGCGCTTCGAAGCGCGCGCTCGGTGGCCCAGCCGGCGCAGGGACGGGGTCGCCAGGGCTGGTGGGCGCCTCCGGAGCAGAGGTCGTCGGGGCGGAGCGCTCTGGCGTGCGACTCCGGGCTGGAGCCGCAGCTGCACGCTCCGGCGCGCGGCTCCGCGGAGCAGGGCTCCGCCGAGCTCGACGTCGCAGACCCGCGAGGAACCCGACTCCCGCGGGGTTGTCGCGGAGCGCCTTGGCGGCATCGCCTCCAAGGTGCTGCAGGCAGAGTGGGACCCCTGAGGCCATGCCCACCGCCTCGCGGAAGCACGTCACCTGGGAGCACTTCTCGCCGTAGCGCAGGACCATGTAGATATGCCTGTGATGCTCGCAAAGGCAGGCCGTCGCGCTCCCCTCGCTAGGAAGCGGGAGGTCCGAAGCCCGGCCATCCTCCACCAACAGCACGGTCGGATCGCCGCGCGCGGCGTCTCGACATCCCTCGGGCGCCAGCGGGCGCATCTTGCCCTTGATCATGAGCCCCACCTTCACCGCCTCGCAGGGGTTGTCCTCGGCGTCTACCTCGGACTCGGACTCCTGGTCAAGCAACCTTGCCACCGACCCCTGCACGCCGGGCCCCGCGTCGCCAGTCCTGCGACGGCGGCGTCGCCGGCGGCAGATGCACGCCCCGCAACACGAGAGCCACGAGAGGACGTACAGCAGCAGCTTGTAGACGAGGCCCAACCACCTCCAGAGCCAGACGAAAATCCGACAGGGCGTGAACTTCGAGTAGTCGCCGAGATCCACGATAGCTTCGTTGTCAAGGGCGGCGCACTCCTTGCAGCGCAGCTCGTTCTCGCGCCCCTCGCACCCGGCACAGCTGATGGAACGACACAGGTGGAGCCAGCGCGGATCGCGCTGCTCCAGCTCGCGCCTGAAGCCCTTGTCGCTAGCACCCCTCACAGAATCATACTCAACCCACAATCCCTGGCGATTGATGCGCTCCGGGGACTTCATGTTGAGCTTGAGCCGCGCGACCTGGTAGTCGACCCTGATCATGAGGTCGTTCTGGCCGCGCTTGGAGCCCCTGCCCTCCTTGATGCTCTTGCGGTACCAGTCGGTCGTCGGATCTGCACCTACAGCTGGGCCGTGCCACGCCACGTCGGTGAGGGGCGGCGCCGCCGGCGGGACCAGCTTGTCAAGCTTAGCCTCGCCAGGCGCCTTGCGCCTCGGGCAGGGGCAGCATGCCAGCATCAGGCCGCATGTCCAGGCTGCCCAGCTGCAGGGTGCGAAGAGCGCCCTCAGGCTGCGGGCTAAGAGTGCGACAACGCCAGTGCCGGAGAGGATCGCCACGAGCCCGGCGATCAGCGGCCACGCGGAGCCGAACAGGTAGAGGCCCACCTGGTCGGCCATGTACAGCACCCAGCCGCCGTCGGAGTTCAGCCAGGGATCCTGCCTCGCGAGTCGAGAAGGCTGACCTGAAACTCCGCACAGCCCGGAAGGCACCTCCTCCCATCCCCTCGGCAAACCAATGCGCGCGGTTGCCGATGTCCTTCCACCTGATGCCAAAAAGACCCCAACCTCTGATCCAGGACGACGAGTCCGAGTCGGGGGGATCGGGGGGAGCGCGGGTCGGACCTTGGGGAGGTGGGTCGGCCGGCGGCGCGGAGCGCTCACGCAGCGGACCCCCTCCGGCACCTCCCGCGGGAGCCGCGTGCTCGCCTGCTGGGCGCGCTCCGATCGGCAGCGCGTCCACGCGCGAGGAGGGGGCCAAAGTGCCGTCGAGCCAGAACGCCTTCATGTCCACGTCCGACATGTCGTCGTAGTACACGTACTCGGCCTCGTGGTCGGCGTCGGCGGCCTTGGCCGCCACCACGAGGGTCAGCAGCAGGGCTGCCGCGCGTCCGCAGCGCCCGCCGGCTGGCGGCGGCGCCGGGGCCTTGGGGCAGCTCCCCAGAGGGTAGCACGATCTACTTTATAGATCGTGATTTTCCAGATCTATAAAATAGATCTGGAATTAGGTTGGTTTGTATGTTCAAACAAATATTTAAGCAATAAATCGAACATCCGTGTATTTCTTTTGATTCACAATATGTGATACATCCAACGTGAAATTCTGTGTTGTTTCCAAATGGCGTGCACATTTGTTGTGGCATACATGGTGTACGTGTTCACCCACCCAGCACAGCGCTTCGTGGCCCAATAGGAGCCCCACCGAAGCCCCCATTGGGGCCGCCCGCATGCGCCCCCCACACCCAACTTGGCAGTTTCACCCACCCAGTACAACGCTTCGTGGCCCTATAGGGAAGTCCACCGAAGCCTCCAGCGGGACCGCCCGCATGCGCCCCCCACGCCCAAAGTGGCGCTGTCATGAAGACCGCGGTCACGTGGACCTGCGGCAAAATCAAAACGACGAGGAGGAGGAGGAGGACGAGGAAGAGGACGAGGAGGAAGAGGACGAGGAAAGGAGGAAAGAGAAGATAAGGACGAGGACGAGGAAGGGGAGGGGCAGGGGGAGGAGGAGAGAAGGGGGAGGGGCTGGGAGAGGACGAGGCGGAGCAACATCATCAACAGTAGGATGATCGAGGAGAAGCACGAGCAGGAAGCGGAGGAACGGGGGCAGCGCATCATCCCGATCCCTCCTCATCGTTTGATTTTTTGCTTCTCACCCTCATCGCGTTCATGCTCTCAGTATTGTCATTATTCCTCCCCCTGCCCCTCGCGCCGTCATTTGTCCGCTGTGACCCCCCAGACGTGAGACGACACAAGTCACGAGCATGGAAACGATGAGGTGGGGAAGGGCATGAAACGATGATGAGCGCGGAAACGATGATGATTCTGGCGCTCCGCGCGGCGGCCACGACGGCCGGCGTGCAGTTCCGCGCGGAACGCTCACCTCCTCCTCCCCCTCACCTCAGCCCATACCTTTTAGCTTGATCATCGATCATCTGCTGGTACAGGGGGAGGAGCTGGACCATGACCTGGCGCTTCGCGTCGATCGTAGTGGCACGTTCGAGCTCCTCGCCCAGCCTGTCCATCGACCTCGTCTGTCGATTGATCTTCCTCTGCTCTTTCGCATTCCAAACTGGCTCGTCAACGACACCTTCCTCCTCCTCCTCCTCATCCTCCTCCTCCTCCTCAGAAGCATTCCTGCGTCTTCGTCGACCTTCTGCGTCAGCTTCGCGCCTCCTGCCCCTGTCTTTTTTGGTTTTCCTCAAACCTCCTCTGCTGTCACTTCTCGTGGTCCTCCTCATCCTCTTTCTCGCGCTCCTGCTTCTGTCCCTTATTTTTTCTGTCCTCCTGATCCGCTCTAGCCTTAGATCTGCGCGCTCTGCGTCATCAGCTGCGTCGTCGGCCAGGGCTCTCGCCTTCTCTGCTTTCGTAATCGCCTTCTCTGCTTTCTTATAAGCTTGTTTGATATTCATCTTTTCCTTCAGCTTTGCTTTGAACTTTTCTTTGTCCTCCTGGCGTCGGCCTTTGTCTGCCTCCTGGCGTTCCTTTGTCTGCCTCCTGGCGTCGGCCTTGTATTTTTCCTCCTCTGAAGTGCTCGTCCTCGTCATCTTGCGGGCCTTTCCAGCCTCGGCCTCGTCTCCTCGATATCGGCCTCGTCTCCTCGATATCGGCCTCGGAGTCGTCCTCGTGGCACCCTCAAGACAGCCTCCTCCTCGGCCTCCCTCTGCTTCCTAGACTTGAGGCAGGCAGCCTTCGAAGATGTGCCCTCCATAGCTGGCCAGCGGGCCCCGTGCGCATGGGGGGGGGGGGAGGGTGGCCCTCTCGTTACATGCGCCCCTGAGCACGGACGGCGGGCAGGCTGGCGATCGACGGGGAGGGGGACTGGATTTGCGACGAGAGACATGTTAACAAAACGATCGAACAATCGAACCGCACACGAAATTCAACCCAGTCGTTATCAGATCGGATGGGCGGGCGTGGGTTACATGGGTTGTTCTCGTGATGGAGGTGCGCTGAGGGTATAGAGGGTGAGGAGATAGTGGGTGGGGGACAAACAGAAGTCGGGCGCTGCGTGGAATGTGCGCATGGCGAGTGGCACGCGTTCGTTTTCCCCGGCCCCCACTGGCCCTAATCAGAAGCAGAACTCGATTCGCTGCTAACGCTCGGGTCTGCCCCGCGATCTGGCCCCCATCATCTTGATGCGGTGCTTACAAGTTACGCATGTATGCCCAACAGCCTTGCACGCCGGGCACGGGCCCCACTGTTTGGGCCTCTTTTTCCTAATCTGCGGAGGGCAGCCGAATCCACACTTCGTTGATACGACCCCCCCCACGCCATGCTCTGCCCAGCGGGTACCCTCGTGCACATGATATGGACCATGCGCGCACGCATCTGTGCATTGCTAGATATGTTTACGTTTCTGCTCGCGCGCACCGCCCCCAAAGTGTAACACCTTAGAAGATCTGGAGTCGGCCCCCCCCCGATTGCGCCTCTTCTTCGCCTTGTAGTTCATGTAGTGGAGCTGGTCAGCATACGTGGCGGTCAGCCGTGCTTTCCTCTGCATGCGCAAGCGCTTGAGCTCTGCGTATTCTGGTGGCACCTTGGTCCTGGGACGCAAGCCCCCTCGGCCCCGCCTCGATCGTTCGTGATCGTGATATACGGGGGGGTGGGGGGCATCGAAAACATATGGCCCTGACCTAAATGACCCCCTGGGGAAATCGTTGGTTTTTGGCCCACGGTCATGCAGTCCATGTGGTTCCCAGGCTCGATCTCGAATTCGATGATGTTATCCGCAGCGGGCCTAGATCGAACATATGTTTATCCGTCAATCGGCCAGGGTGGGGCTCCACCCGATCGAAAACACCAGGGACTTTTGATACAAAAACAAAGCGTTCCAGAATAAGCTCCGAAACTGTAACGAACTCAAAGTGGACGCTGCCAGATGGAGCCCCAACGCTACCACATTGACAATGACATAGCCCTTTTGTTCCCAACTCGGCATCTGGAATCTCACGAACACCTTGTCAGGTTCGATAAGGGGGAATTATTGTGAGAGGGTGGGAAGGGCGAGCAGGAACATTATTTGGGAGCGGGTTGCATTAAGACGTCTGCTCACCTTCAGCGGTAGGAGACACACCTTTGCCCTCGCTCCACTGTTGGCTCCCAAGTCGTTCCAGTCAAACGTGGGGCACCTGGCTACCGTGCGTTCCTTCTCCTCCTAGCCAGTGCTCCTATCAGCCGACGTCATCGTCGACATCGTTCTCCACATATCCTCGTGGTCGTCGTAGTCCGACTTCTCGCCTACGTCGTGTTCGTCGGCATCCTTGTCCTCAGTATCGTATGTGTCTCTCCCGTATCATGTCCTCCTCGTCGGAGGTATTACCGTCGTCGTCATCTATACCTGGTATGTGGGAACAGCAAGGCACTCGGAATCAGAAACATCATCTCGCTGAGCTGCCATTGCAAGCCTCGCTCGGGGCCCCTGCACCTGAGCGGACCTCGCGCCCGACACCCCACGGGCAAAATACACAGCCTGGAGCCGACAGTGCGGTTGCTCTCGGCGCCGCGGGGGTTGGGCATCAGCTACCAGGGGCGGTCGGGGTGACGATTCTGGGGGGGAAGGTTCGTCATCTGGGTGGTCCGAACACACAGAGGCCAACGCAATTTTGACACCATGACCCTTTATCTCTGGAGACGCACACCTTCAGGGCTGACGGCAGTGGGAAAGGCGGCTGGCCTCGAGTTCGCCAGGAGGGCGGGGGGAGGGGGAGGGGGGGTCGGGATGCGGTAAACGGGTGGGTAGATATCAGTTGATACCAGTTGTTTCTGCATCTCCCCCGCCCCATCCTTCAACATTGTCGTCCTCTTTGGCGTCATCAATCCAGAACCCCCTTCATCGCAATTCCCCCTGAGTAGACGCTTCCCAACGGCGCCCTTTATGTTTTCCCTCGGGCCGCTTGCTACATCCTGTAGTACCGACCCACTCTGCGACTAAAACAAAGCATTGACCTTGGCAGGAAAACGCACGCCTCAGCTCAATAGCGCGATATCCTGAGGGTTGAAGCCGAAGATGGTAGATAATGAGGTTCCCGACATAGACCTGCGAATTGCCCCCATTCGTCATGCAGGCACATCGTCATGCACGTGCACGTGCTTACCAGAGAACCTGATATCACTGAAATGATCGACGAACGGGGAAGGACACGTCGAGGGATGAGGGCATGCGGGAGGAAATATGAAACCACCTTTGTTGAGCACATCCTGACTGATACCCAGGGAACTTGGAAAACTACTGAGAAGGAGGGGGAGGATGATGAGGAGGGGGGGGAGGGAAAGGAGGAGGAGGATGAGGAACAGGAAGGGGATGAGGAGGAAGAGGAGATGGACATATGAAAGCGCACGCATGCCCACGCACGACGGTATCAACAACACTGCCGTGACGCTTGCTCCCTCTCGCAGTCCATTGACTTGAAACAACCACACGCGCAATGTAGCACGACACCTTGCCAACTTGTGTTTGGGCAAGCTCTCCCTTCCCAGCGCGGCTTTCTGTGGCGTCGAGATCCGTTGCAAAGCGCACGTTCCTTTCAGCTCTCACTTAAGCATGGCCCGCGCAGAACCCTGCCCTTCCCCCCCCCACCCACCGCTGCGACTGTAAATCTCACGCGTAATCATCATCGCCATCACGATGACGGCGGCCCAGGTGATCATCAGAGGGCGCGGCGAACAAGTGCGTGTGCGTACGGAACATGCCCACGATGGAGAAGCACATATATATACGCTTTTGCGTAGAGTTCTCGGGTGCGCGCGCTCCGAGCACGTGCGCAATGTCAGGTTTATCCCCTCGTCCACGAACGTGTCATATGCCCTTGGGTTCCCGAAGTAGTTGCTCCTAGATGGCGCGAGTTCAAATTCAATGAGGAGTGCTCTCATCTTCCCCCGTTTTTTTTTTTTTTTTTTTTTTTTTTTTTTTTTTTTTTTTTTTTTTTTTTTTTTTTTTTTTTTTTTTTTTTTTTTTTTTTTTTTTTTTTGCATTGCCGATGTTGCAGCGTGGGCGTGGGAAAAACGGTTGAAACTTGCCGACCGTTGTTTTTTAGAGGCCCAGCCGACATGGCCCTCATTGTCATGTGCATAAACACGTGAAACTCGGGGGCGGGCGTCACACGTGCAAGTTCAGCATTCATGATAAAACGGTCGGCGCTCTCAATCAATAGTTGGTGTTGCTCTTCTGACAAGCACGTTGGCGACGTCCTGCACGTTGCCATCCATGCCAGAAGGGCTTCTCCGGCTTGCAACAAGAAAGCATGCGTTGCCTCATCTGTTTGGTGAACACGCATTCTGTCGACTGTAAAATGTAATATGGACAGAGTTTCGCTAGCTTTGAGCTTGAGCACCCCACCACCGCAAACTGAGTTTCCTTGCATACCACCCAACATTTTCCTAGTAAGAAGTCCAAGTCTGCGCTCGTGTGGTACATTTGCCCTCTCGTAATAGGTGAATAATGCTGCTTCTAACCGTTGGATTCTGACATCCCAGTTCGGTACCCTCCAGGGTTTGTTTGCCAAAATGCGTTGTAGTGCGGCTGAGCAATATCGCATCATGGGCCCAAAATAGTATGTGCGCAAGGAATCTATAGCTAGAGTTCGCGCGGGTGGTGTACCAAGCTGTTCGTCAAACAGAGGGGATCGGTGGTTGCATGGGTCAATGACCCGTCCAAATGAATCAGCGTTTGCCCTCCAGAACGTAGCCCAGAACGGAGTTGTCGTCCGATCGAATCGCGCGGGTACTAAGAGGTCGTCTGGAGGTTCCAATCTATCCCCAGCCCGCAAAACCCACATGTTATCGGGGTGGACGAAATCACTTGAAAGTGTTCGTCCTTTCTTCTTGCCGTCGTCGACCAGTAGGGTAGCAACACGATCTCTGATTTCGTTGGTTTGAATCTGGATTACATGTTCGTTTCGAGTACATGCAGCGTCGAAATCTTCATGTCTTCGCTCGGGGTAAGCACCGCCTGACCACGCGAGACTACCAGGAGCAGACATGACATCGCGTGGTACCTTACAGAATGGGCAGGGGCTGTAAACTGCGTTCCATGGTGGTAACCCCATCGAATGGTGATGTTCGCTCCAATCCCCTTTGATATATAATACCATTGCTTTGAATTGCAACTCTCGGTCTGCATCGTCAGCATTCATACCACTTAGAGGTTTACCGTCATGTCCCCTGTCTGGTAACACACCTGAGCACAACGCGCGAAGTTGCCATTGAACTTCTGTGAGAAGAGAACGAGTTGAACAATACCCTCCACACCCACATGCACATAATTGATCTTTCCGCATCAAGCCTACCAAATGCCGCGCGTCTGACAATAAGTTTACCACCGAGACCCCAATCAGTTTACACGCTTGCCCAAGCAGTTCGGGCGTACCGCGCGTAATGACATACCTCCCAAAATCAGGTTTGATGCGCGCAACACGCGTGCACATTCGCGTACAAGCAGCGTGCCATGCGCGCGCTCCCTATCTGGTTATACACATGTTGGGGCGTCGGATGTAACGACAGTGGTTAACTTGTCGCGGCCAGCGGCCTGCCCTGCGTAGCGAAACCCGTCCATGTACACGGCTACTGGTAAAGGATGCTGTTCATCGTGATCCCTCGCTCGCAGCACGTGTGGGCGATCACGATATGCTGGGGCGCTCATGACACTGTTCGGAAGATCATGTTCTCCATCCCTGAGGACTTCCTGGATGTACTCGCCATTCTTCACTTCCGAAGCAATAGTGCGATATATTTTCCTAAATGAGATGCAAATTGTTTGTTGGTTATTGTCTTTCCGAATTGTACCTGGAATGTCAGCGTAGTAGAAAGGTCCACACTCAGGAAGTCTAGAATCCAATGACTTTTTGTAATTCCCCGAGGACGCCCCAGGCTTCATGGCATAGGCTGACCAGGACCCTCCAGGAACTTCGCACACATCAAAACAATGGCATAAAACAGTGAAGTCCTGCGCACTCATGCGCTTGCACGACGCGCACAGTCCTAACAGAATGTCGAACGCACGTGCTCCAGCATCGCGCTTCTCTGACCCTCTCGCGTCACGGACGAAAACGGCATGTGTTCTCCCCCTCTTTACGTGGGAAGTGGACATCCTGACACTCGAGCTGGCATGGCTACACAGATGGAACGTCGCCGCCGTGCTGTGCTCACTTGTCGCAGCCAACCTGCCTGTCACGGAATCACTGTCGCCGTCATATTTGGTTTGTTGTCGCTGTCGTCGTCGTCGCTGTTCATGTCGCTTCCACCGCCATCGTCGACGCACCCGCAGCTGCCAAAGACCGTTCACAACTTATCTGGCCGAACGCACGCTAGCATCGCCGATGCATGACTCACCATCGACGTCGCCGATGCATCGCCGACGATCCCAGGGAACCATATTGACATCATCACGCGTGTCGGGATGTCAACCCCGATCATAAAACATAAGCTGTCTCGGGACACCGCCCAATGTTTTTCATCGACAGAAAAGCCACAGCAACTCCACTAGTCAAATGCATGCACCGTCGCTCGAATGCAAGACTGATCAAGCATTATGGCGCCTGCAACCACACCTGATATGCAATAAACAAACGCTGGGGGCGGCACAAGCACGCGCAACCTAGCAGCAGCTCGGACGCAATGGAACCGCACGATCATCACATATGCTTCAACCCATTTCCCCTCTCAGTCCCTCGCTTTCCCTTGCGAGCTGCGTGCCGAATGAAACCGTGGCTACGAGAAGAAAGTCGGCGCGCCTGCCTGCCCCTGCGACGCTTGCCAATGCCGCACAATTAAGCGAAACATAAGGACAGCGCAGCTGATCTGCTTCAAACGACCACGGCCCCACGCGCTGCCCACTCCTGTGAGTGATGCGAACTCCCGTCGCCGAGCGTGGCCAGCAGTGCAGAGCTAAATATGATGGCTCGAATGACACTCGGATCGATCACCATGCGACTGTTTTCTTCTGGGCCCCAGAAAACCAGGACGTCGCGATTTCGAACAAGTTGTTTGGAAATCCGACCAGCACCACGCGGTTTAGAAGTAAATGCTCACCATTTTGTTTTTGTTGTGCAATGTGCGTGCTTGCGCTGACAGTTTTGAGCGAGTGCGCGGTGTCAAAGTTCATTCGGAGTTTATTCGGAGTTGATTCGAAGTTTATTCGGAGTTTATTCGTGTGTTTTTGTATGTATATATATATGTATATATATATGGTTGCATAGGGTTTATTCGCAGTTTATTCGCAGTTTCTTCGCAGTTTATTCGGAGTTCATTCGGCGCTTATTCGCTGTGTGGTTCACTTGGATTTCTAAACAACTCGCCGAGATCACCGGTTACACATCAGTTGTGCCGGGCACACCGTTGCAAAACATTAACACAGAGTCGAACGAGCATAATTTTGTCCGATCGATCAACTGATTTCGATCAGATGTCTCCGAGCGTCAAGTTGCTCACTGCCTGGACTTGGTATACCTGGCCTGGTTCATGGCTTTCAAGCTCTTGCGCTCCTCCAGGAGACCACCACATGGCTCGTGCAGAACCTCATAGGCCTTCTTAAGGCGGCGCTTGAACGCCTCGTCACCAACCTCTGAACAACACTTAAATGCGAAGATCGGAAGGCAGGGGGGAGGGAGATATGCTCACATTCAGCGAATGCGATCTATGTCGTAGATCGCGATCCATGAATCCGAACATCTCACCCCTCCCCCCTCCGCCATCCTCACCCATGGCCTCCTCTGCTCCATCTTCCCACCCGCCGCCCTTCCCCCTCCCACCTCTATTATCATTCCTCCTCCGATTCTGGCAGGGGGTGGCTGCAAGTTGCGGGGCCTCCTTCTTGTAGACAGGCAGCTTGTCCTCAGACATCAGCTTGAACAGGAACTTGTGCTCAGCCACGATAGCATTCACCTGCGCAGCGAATGGGGCGAACAATACTGCAAACGCACACATACATCAGTCACAACACTGGGTCAACATAGCACGTTACAGGATATGTCGGGCAAACTGTATATAAACGCAACAGGGCGCTTGGACCCAGACCAGAGCTAAGTGCAAACGAACAAGACGAGCGAAGCATGATAAGTGCGGGTGCACAACCATAGACCGAGATCACCAACATACCAATCACATTTCATTAATGATGAGGAACGGGAAGGGCGAAGGATGAGGATCGAGGAAGATAAGGGATGAACACCACCCCCAGCTTCAATCCCAGTTTGTCTCCTCCTCCTCCTCCTTTTCAGCCTCATCCGCATCCCCATGCTCCTCCTACTCCTCCTCCTCGCCAGCCCCCCATGCTCAAGCTCCGCGCCTTGTCGTAGGCAGCCTGGAAATATTTCAGGGCGTCTGGGCTGTTCTTGGCCCACTTCCAGGTCTGGATGAGCTGCGCGGTAGACGTGTGCTGCAAGATCGCGTTGTCGTACAGCACTTTGACCTTCTTGAAATTCTTCACGTACTCGGATGTAATCGTCGCCCTCCTCTTGTCATCTTCAGACTGGGCCTTATCCTTATCCTTTTTCGTATCCTTCCCTTTTTTCGTATCCTTAGCTTTTTTCTCATCCTCAGTCTGTTTCTTCGCACCCTCAGTCTTTTTCTTATCCTCCGTCTTTTTCTTATCCTCAATCTTTTTCTTATCCTCAGTCTTTTTCTTATCCTCCGTCTTTTTCATATCCTCATTTTTTCTTGACATCCGTATGTTTCGCATCCACGGTCTTCTTGCGATTCTTACGTTTCTGCCTCTCCTTCTGCTTGCTCGTGCCTTTAGCCTCCTCAGCCGCGTCATCTTCATTGCGCTTCGAGCCGATGCGGGTCCTCTTCTTAGGCGGCATCTCGTCCTCTGAATATGTCGGCCGTTTCGTTTTCTCTTTCCTTGTCTTTTCCTCGTCCTCTTCCTCGTCCTCCTCTCCCTCTTCCTCCTCACTGTCTTCTTCCTCCGCCTCTTCCTGGTCATCGCTGGATGGCGCACCGCTCGAACTGGCATCGCCCTCATCGTCTGCATCGGGAAGAGCCTTGCTCCTTTTCCTGTCTTTGATGGCACCGCCACCGCGGTCGGCGTCGTCGTCGCCCCCTTGCCTGCGCGTGCTCCATGATTCTAATTCTTCCCATGCTTCCTTGAACGTCTCAGACATGCGATGCGTGAAATACAGGAATTTGATGCTTTCGGTCATATCGTCCCATTTTACCCACATCCCTCCAAGTATGATTGCGTTCGTGCAATATGTGAACGCCAGCTGCATCCCGTGGAGCCCTCCTCCTTCCTTCTTCGCGATCCTGCCGATGCTGCAGTACTCACCGTCCTTCATCTGCGCCTTTGTGAGCGTCGTCGAATGGGTTCTGGTCCACTTGCACTTCCAGTCCCTGTGCATCCGCTTGGCCCACCTCGCTCTGAACTTCTGGGAGTCATGGTAGCCATGGCACTTGGCGTACTTGCGCCGAAGTTTCTCGCTTGCCTTCAAAGCGCGCTGCCAGCGGCTTCCTGCAGGGTTCCCAGCCCCCGTGGATGTGTTGAAATAGTAGTTGTCTGTTCTGCAGTTCCTCCCACAACTCCTTGTCGCGCTGCGCGTCCTCTGGCAGCTCGTCCTCAGCCTCGATCTCCTTTGCCTCATCTGGTGATGTCTTTCGTAGCTCGTGCAACCTTCCCACCAGCCCGCCGTTGACGAACTGCGTCAATACCTGGTCCATCCTCTCACAGGACGGGCCCTCCCCGCTGCGCATGATGTTGCGGTTGGACAGCTCAGCGAGTTCAGCCTTCAGTTCCTCGAGCAGCTTCTGCCTGTTTTGAACGAACTCTTGATCGGGGACTGGTCGCACGTCGATCCCATCTTGTTTGAAGAACGTAGACTGGTTCCCGTCTCTCGGCCACAGAGATGGTCCGCCACCTCCGAACATCTGCTTGGCGTACTCGGGTTCAGACGGTATATCATGGTCCTGGAGGTGACGCAACAACCATCTCCCTCCCTCCATCCCTCCATCCCTCCCTCCCTCCTTCCCTCCATCCTATCCCTCTTGCTGCTGCTGCTGCTGCTCTTCACCCGCCTCTTCAGAGGGGTGATGGGCGAGGAATGGTTTGTGGGGCGCCGACGACGGCCCTTCACGGACGTTCCAGCTGCCGTCGCCGAGGGAGTATTCGGCGTGATTGCGCCACCGACAAGATCCTATAGGAGTTGCGCGATTGCAAAAGCAGCGCCACATAAGAAAATGATGAGGCTGTCAAGACGGACGGAGGTCGAGAAGATCGGAGGGGAGGGGATGGCGATGTTTCTAGCGGGGAGGGAGGACGCACTAGCGGGGGGAAAGACAGCGAGAGAGAGGACGAGAGAACGACAGGTAAACCAATGCAATCCTCGTCGAGCTTGCTGCCCGTCGGCGCGCCGTCCTTGCTGGCCTCGCCGGCCTCGGTGTCCGCCTCGGCAGTTGTGTTCTCGATCTGGTTGATCCCCTCTGTGCCCTCAATCTCCTCAAGCTTTCGGCCCTCGCCCTTCTCTGCTGCGTCCTCGGGCGTTGCTGCCGCCTCAGCGCCAGCGTCTCCTCTCCTCTGGTGTCGCTTCTTTTTCTTCGGTGGCCCATCCTCTGCAGCGTCTCCTGTTGGCGGGGCCTCGCCTTTACCTTTGGCCGCGCGCCTAGTCTTCTTCGCCTTCCTCTTCTTCCTCTTCTTAATTCCGCCCTCCTCTGCCGCCAGCTTCGAATCCTCAGGCGTCTCATCAACTCTGGTTCCTTCACCCTCCACGTCCTGATCACGGGTGTTCTCTTCAACGGGGTCTCCTGTCTTCTCGAATGGCTCAGCTCCCTCGCCCTCTGCTGCGCCTTCTCCCTGGACGTGTTCCTTCTTCTCTTCCTTGGCTGCGTCGTCCTCATCTTTCTTTGCCGTCTTTCCATCCTCGCTGCTTATGTCCTCTGGCTGTGCTGGCTTTGCCTTGTCGCCATCATCCCTCCTCATCGCATCAGTCTCTGTCTTTCCTGACTTTGCCTCCTCGTCTCCTGGCGTTGCCTCCTCGCCATCATCTCCAGCACCATCGTTGGGGAGCGAGTCCTCCACCTCGATGGCGCAGTCCTTGCGGCGCGATGCACGCTGGCGACGAACGCACGCGAGACGCAAGGCTGCGAATGCAACTCGACAAGGGGGTGCGTTCTCGGCTAAAGTGCGCCCATCATTCCTGTTACTCCCCCTCATGCCCTCCTCCGCCTGATGCGCTTCATCACCTGTCACCGCCTCTTCCTCCTAATCCTCCTCATCTTGTCGAACGCACTACATGTCTTGTGCCCCGAGCTCGCGTTCCTGTTCTTGTAGCATATCTGCCATTGCACGATCTCCCTCTTCCTGGTGCCTCTGCCGTTCGATTGCTCTCTCCGCTTCGAACTGGCCTACTACGATGCGCTGGTACTCGGCGTTGCGAACCTCATCGTTTGAACCCGATGCGCCAGAAGGTTCGACCTCCATCGCGGCGCCCTGCAGCGGAGGGCAACGATGTGATTTCATTGCGGGGCGATCGAGGCTGGAACACTTGGCGAGGGAGACGATCCGAGAAAACCAAATGAGAATGGCTATGGAGGGGTTCGCCAGAACGCAAAGGGTCCCGGGCTCTCTCGTAGACCTGCTTCCTACGCAGAAACGTTCTGATGTCTACAAACTTGATGGCCTCTAGTCTGTCCTTGGGCATAGTGGCTACGGTTCCTGAAGTGGGCAAGCGGCGCAATTGGTCGACTGGCCGAGCTTCCAGATCACGTCGTTAAGCGCGATGGGGGATCCGAAAGATGGCGCACTGATGCGGGACAAGCCGAACGACACACATGTATAAAGACACACGTATGTGATAATATGGTCAGTGACGCGCGTGCGTTACCATTGTCACGATATGTCTGAGGTTCACTGGTTCACCCACGGCATGTTGATATGTTCAATTAGGTTGCTCTTCGTTCGTATTTCGAACACCGCTGCGCATGTAGGGTCTATCGGGGGTGCAACTATGTTTTCTCCAGGACCCAGGGCCCAGAGGTAACCCGCAGACGCCGATCCAGCTAACACCTCACACGGTTGTGTTGTCTTTTTTGCACGACGCGCACGGCGAATTGCAGCACTGTCTAGCACAGCATCGTTGCCAACGCGCGCGCTCAGCACGCGCCGCGGCTGCATAACGAGAGCGGCCACGCTAACTGTTCCGCCAGCCTCACGACGAAACGCGTCTCAGACAAACCTAACACGCAGCAGAAGCATGCAACAGTGACGCTGACCGCGGCATAGCAAAGACGCTGAGCTCGCCGACGTAGTTGCGCGCGGAATATACTTCAAAGCGCCTTGTCGAACCAATATTGTGATTGCAAAGCGTGGGAACGCAACTAGTGAGACGACGACGTTGACATCAGTGAACATGGCATCCAAATCGACACGTTACGCGCACGGGTTGGCAACATGGGAAATGCGGAGAGGGGGGGTGTTGAAGGCTGTGGCAAAGCAACACAGAGTAAGCTACAGGTGCGCCTCGCTCACACCATGCACTTGCCGAACTCATCGATGACGTCATCGCTGGAGTCTGTTGGAGGTCTGAACTTCTTTCTAGGGGGGCCGGTGTCGGCCTTTGGCTTCTTTGCTTTCTCCTCGGCCTTTGCGTTCTTCTCTGCCTCTGCTTTCTCCTCTGCCTCTGCTTTCTCCTCTGCCTCTGCTTTCTCATCTGCCTCTGCTTTCTCTTCGTCCTTTGATCCATCCCCATCTGCTTCAGAATGCTCAACCTCTGCCGGCCCTTCAGCGCCTGCGTTCTCATCATCGGCCTTTTCCTTCTCATGCTTCTTCCTGTTCGCGGCCTTCAAGAGCTTCTTCTTCAATATAGCTTTTTTGTCAGTTGTTGCTTGGTGTGGCTCCGTCTTCCTCGTCTTTTTATTATTCTTCCTCTTTTGGTCATGCTCGTTCTCTCTTTCTTCTTTACTCTCCTGAACGACGGCTGCACATTTAGCTTTCTTTTTTGCCTTTGCTCCTGCGCTGGCTTTTGAACTCTTCTTAGGCGCCTTGCTATTCACACCTGGTCCGTGCTCGCACTCATCCTGGATCTTCTCTTCCTCCTCCTCCTCCTCCTCCTCCTCTGCCTCATCCTCGCGCTCTTTTCCATCCTCCTCGCTGCCATCGCCTGCCTCCTGCTCAGCGCCCTCAGCCTCGTCCTCCTTCTGCGCATCCTTCGGGCCTGCTTTCTTTCGCTTCATCGGTGCCGCCACCGTCTTCGCTTTGGCTGCTGCTGGCCTTTTAAGCACTGCTCCAGAGTGTGCTCGCATGAACTCCTGCTTGTCGACTTCTATGGCGTCTTTCGTCTTAGCGTGGCTTGCAAAGGCTTTGGCGCATTTGACGATGAACTTGTCTGCCTCCTCTCCGCGCCCTTTCTTGCAGACCAACTGCAGCCGCATTGCTTTCGAACCTTCTTTTGGATGCTCGAACACTGCCAGATGCTTAACCCTCTCATCTTTGATCGTGCGGTGGAACGTCTCCACAACCCAGCGGCTTTCGTTCTCGTCGCATCCACTCCAGAGGGCCTCCTTTGACTTTTTCTCCTGCAGCATCGCCTTCAAAACAGCGTGCGTGAGCCCAGCGATCTTCCATGTGTGACCATCCTCCTATACTGCCTCGAGCTCCTCGTGATCTGCTGCTCCTGGTCGTGCTGCTGGCGTCTTCGAATAATCAGGTGGCCCTTTCTTCCTGACATTGCATCTCGCGACCGCCCGCCCACCATCATGAATTCACACCAGAACGAATGCAGTGCACAAGAGAGCATTTCAATAGGAGCGAGGTGGGGGACACGGCCCCAGAGCAAATGCGGCCTCTAAACGAGGGCAACGGCAAGGAGGTACGAAGAAGTCGGGATGTGGAAATCGCATGATACCACACCTCCGTTCACGTCATCGCTACAATCCTCCGCTTCCTAGCACGCCTCGCCCCCCCTCGATCACCATTCATGCATCTAGAAGCACGCCCCGCCCCCCCGACCATCATGGTTCTGTTGAACTCGTACTTATAGATGCCATCCTGGCGCTGGCTACACGATGCACTCCTCACCTTCCCCCTCCCACCCTCTACTCTTCATGCCCTCCTCTCCTCAATCCGAAGCTATCGACCCTGAGCCCAAGTCGGCCCCTCGAACCGTGACGCCACGAGATCGCGACCCCTCCCCCACCACCTCCATGCGACGAGAATGGCGCCAGTCTCGCACGACTCATCCCTCCCATGCGTTCCTTCCCTATCGCCCATCATCCATATTATATCGTCACTCCTGCCACCCGCACCCACGTGGGAGATCATTACAGGGTCGTCCGAATAAACTCCGAATAAACTCCGAATAAACTCAGAATAAACTCATGATAAACGCAGGAATCACGAAGGAAACATGCAGAATGCAAAAGGCGATCCCTAAACCGCTTTCGAAACAGATTTATGAAGCAGACCGCGCTCATCCCCCCATCATCCTTGTCGTGAAGCTCGAGGTCCAGGCGCCAAAAGGTCTGCAACCACACTGGGATCTTCTGCTGGCTCCTTCGGGAAAGGCATTAGAGAGACTCTGGAAGAATTCGCCAGGGGTGCCCAATGCGATTAACATCATCGTGCGGATCAACGGTTGCACGATGACCTTCACCGCGTTCGATGCCCCGTTCCCCAACATAAGTTGGGAAACGGGGCATCGAACGTGGCTTCATTCCTTCCCTCGAATCCTGCATGCGATGAAAGCTTGCGCGACGCGCCTCAGCATCGATCGGATCCGCCCGCGCCGATATAGGCATATCGGCGGCAGCGGGGGACGATCGACGGCATTTTCTTTCGCGTCGTTGCAATTCCGAAACCAATGCAGCAATCTGACAAACGGCGGATATAACGCGCAAGCGTCATTGATCATTTTAGAATGTTGCATCGCCCACGACTTCACCTGAGAGTCGAGCTTCCATTTCTGTTCTTTGGA